TTTTTCATCTGCCTTTGAAACAATATACTAGAAGCCCTCTATTAAATTTTCAAGCTTTTTTAACCAACAAATGAAATTTTATTTTGATAAAATTGATCCGAATAATGTTATCGTACATATAAAATGTAAATATAAACAACCAGTGAATAATTCATGTATATACGTTCATTTTTTTTAGAGTTACACCAAAAATCAAAATCGATTTTGCGTAAAAATTCCCGTTTTTCCTTAATTTTTATGTTGCTTTTCCCGGTGCTTGTAAAAACTATTGGGAGTTTTAAAATTTGACCTCCCAAATGCACCAACTAGATTCATTTTCCCATCAAACAAGATACTGTTGAAGAAAATCGAAGCAGTTTTACTGCCCCAAACCGTGAAGACAGACACAAAAAAAAAAAAAAAACTCACTTCATTGTAAAATCAACACATTCATCGTTCCACTCAGAATCTAAAATAATAATAGTCAATAGTTATAATAATAACTTTAAAATAAAAATATATTTACACGAACCTGTTCAGTGGGGCCCATCATCAAGAAATAAATAACAATAAAAAGTTATTTTAATTTTTATGATAGTAAAAATTTATGTAATGAATAATTAACTTTATAATAAAAAGTTAATAAGTAATATATTATACATAAATACTATACATGTCTTAATATTATGCCGAGATGGCTAAATATCATAATTATTTTATGTATAAAACTAAATTGTTTCAATGAAATTGCAAAAAAAAATTTTGATGGTAGCAACAAAATTAACTTAGGTTAGACTGTAAGAGGTACCTAAGGATACCTACTTAGATAAATTTAATAAATAATTAATATTCTTCAATTAAAAACTGATACTATTAAATTCAACTTTAATAGGTAGCCAGGTAGGTACCCGTATAAATCATAGTAAAATATTGTTTTGAAAAGTGTGATGTGTTTTGTCTATAATAATGTATTATGTATAATTAGTAGGTATTTAAATTAGGTAGATAAATATTTAGTAACCTATAAATACTCTACTATATTTCTATGTTTATACCAAAGACTCAGGCACGTAGCCAGGTTAGATTACACAGAAGTTCCATATGGCCACTGGAAAGGCTCTAAGGACTTGTATGCTGAAAGAGGGTAATAAGTCATATATTTTATAAACCTTAACACTTTATGCAGTCATCCTCTAGAATTTCTATGCATCTAGTTTTTATTGTTGCAAACATCATATAAATGACATACATTTCGTTAAAAAAGTCCAAAGTCTATGAACATTTTAATAATACACTCGTTAACTCTTTGAATCTTGAATACAATATATTAAGACTAACTAGTCAAATACGTTGGAAGGGGACGTGGGTGTTAGCTGTTTACAACTACCCCACCACAATATTATTGGCTTTTCGATACTCCTTAAAAATTAAAATACGGACCCATTATACATTTGTCTCAGTTTTTAGTAGGTAGGTATATTATATTTTATTTTAATTTTTAACTTGAATCCTGATATTATTAAACGTGGTATAAAAACTTATGTTTACAAATGACAACCCTCGTTTTAAACAATAAATTATCTAGCAGATAATTTTACTGAAAATGTTGACGTACCAATAAATCAAAAATCGAATGAGTATTTTTTTTAGTTATTTAACTTTATTTAATAAGAATAACATGTTCATAACAACTGGTTTGGAATATATAGGGACTATATTAATTTATATTACATTTATCAATATACATAATTTTTAAAAATGTTCCAAGTATAACAAATACTAGGTCTGATATTAGATCTATTTAATATTTTTTTAAAACCATTTTTAAGGACTTTTATCCTTAATATAAACATAGGTATTAACAACTGATAAATGAACCATAACAATTTGGAATTAAGTACCTACACCAGCGTTTTTTTTTTTAAAAATCATCCACTACTCACTAGGTATATATTTATAATTTACAGATAAAAGAAGTTACAGAAGTTTGTAAAAATGCATTATTAGTCATTAATAGTGCGTTATTATAACTAATATTATTATTTATCATAGCAAGGCCTTACGAGCTCACATATTCACCGGATTTATTAATACCATTTATTGAAAACTGAAATAATTTTTTGTTAATCCTAAAATCAAATTATACCGATTATACGTACCTCTAATGCGGTATAATGTATAAAACAAATTGCCCTAATCGGTTAATATAATCAGAACGAGCAGCGCTAAAATGACAAAAGGTAATCACATAAATTTAACTAACTGTATCAATGTAAAATGTAAATTATAAATATTATAGAGTATAGACTGTAGTATTATAATTAATATCATTTATATTTTATGATATTATTATGTCCAGAGCGGGCGCCCAAACAATCGTCAAATATTATTTTTAATGTATCACGTGACACAATATTATAATCGAATCTGCTGTGCGCTTTTCGGAGAGTAGTGGTCACACTGTTCAAAAGTTGGTTAGTATTTCCGCATTTACTATGATGTTTATGTCTTTTAATAATAATTATTTTTGTTCTACACTGTTCTTCTTTACCTAATCGAACTTCCTGTTGCCGATTAAGAAACTGCTCTCTGTCCGCCGAGCCTAGAAGTCTACTACGCAGCATAGTGTATCGACCATTTACCATTTATAATATTCTCGAGTACACTAACTTTTGTAGTTTTGGAGGTCCGTTAAATTAGGTGTCGTCCAACAGCGTTTGCTTTAACTCGTTCCGTCGCCGTTGCACGTTTTTGATTTTTAATAATATCGAGGTAAGTGAACACTCATTTAATGACGGTTATATCGGCGGCTGTACGCGTGTTCGTGTATGAACTATAACCGTGCATGCACATTAATAATATAATATTATTAAATCCGTAAAAAGGTACGCGTACTGACGCCCGAAATTGCCTAAAAATTAAAATCGTTGGTCGACGATATTTCACGAGGAGCCAACTGATAATTTTATTACGACCGGTTGTGTTTGTATGGAGGTGGGACCTTTTCATAATGTGTCGTTAGCCGTTATTATTATTTTAATTTTCGACTTTTTTGAAACTGTAATAGTTACTCTAAGGCAAATAAAATATTACATAACATTATATTTTTACCATGGGGTGTCACCAATGGGTGACTTCCCCCCTCCCGTAAATCATCCTCCTCAAATTTACTCATTGTAATATAATATATTGTAATTATAAAATTTTGTTCAACAAAAAAAAAAAAAAAAACATTATATTTAATTATATTAACTATTAATTATTTAAGTACCTAAATGAAAAACCCACAGAAAAACCAAAATAGTATTAAACCTTGAATATTAGGTACCTATATACAGCTCTGTGCAATGTATCGGCCTACTAAGTTTTTGGATTTTAACCAGCCCTATAAAATTAAGGGCCCAATTTTCAATAAGACATATTATTTATTATCATTCATATTTTTTTCATTGTTCAGAATTCAAGGTATTCAAATATTTCGTGCCATGTATTACTAAGCCGTGCCAAATTTTATGCAGCCCACTGAGTGGAACTCGGTAACTCACCGGGTCTATCCGAGCCTACCTGTATAATGAAATATTTTTGGGTACCTACCTAGGTAATAAAATAAATGTTTTAAACTATAGAAAATAATATAGATTATAATTCCATTAACAAGATAGGAAGACTCAGTGCCGCAACTATAAACTCTTAGGCCTGTGTGCAAGGATTTATTTTGAGGCCCCAAATTAAAATTATTATTATTCTAAAAATATAATAAGGGAGTTAAAGTTACTCTATCAGTTATAATATTACTTTTCGTTAACCATCCAAAAAATTAACAAATCAATATCAATGCTACCTACTCTATTAATGTAAAATTAAAATGATTGAAAAAATAGGACTTTTTTCTAACACTCGGTAGTTATACCGTGTTATTGCTATTAAAGTAACTCATTTTAATATTAGTATTACAGAGGGTCGGTTTAATTTTTGCCTAAAACATTACATTTATTAGGCATAGAGATGTGGCCTGGGTTATATATTTTCCCAGCCAGAATTTTTCTCCCAAGCCATCCCTCCAAACAAGTAACAACAGTAATTACCTACCTACTTTTTAATATTAAACTATTTGTTATTCATTGACAAAGTTCTTAATAATGTTCATCAAGAGTCTTTTTTTTCATTCTTTGTCTAAATTGAGTAAGTATTGCAATCTACTTGTTTTATGTCAATTATTGTACTTTATAGGTAGTTGGGTTTTTTTCTTTTTTAAATTTTCTTATACCTAGTTCATTTCATACTTTTATTAGTAAGTATTAAAATAATGATGATAAAATACAATATTTTAACACAAAGTTAAAAATATTCATACAAATTATGTATGTATATTTTTTTAAAATTCACCAGTTGTTTGTTAATATACAGTATTAATATAGTTTATTAATCAATATAGAGTTATAATGATGTTCAAGGGTTTACTTATCAAAATAAGTAACTAGGTAGGTTATAAGTACATTATTTTATATTTAAATGTTGGTAATATTATTAAAAAGTAAATTGTATTTTCATTACACTATTATTTAATCTGTCATTTTTGTTTTTAAAATATTATTTTGATCCTATATCATTAATAGCCATATGATTTTACACTGATTGTTTAATATTATCCCTATTTGATACAATGATACCTATATTGTTATTATCATAAACCTTCAATTATATGACCTATATATTGTTCTGTAATGTGTGGTCATTATAAATAAACAATTTATCTAAATTCAAAAAAAAAATTAACATATTTATAATATACCTATACCTATGTACTTTGAGTTTAGCCAAGATCTTTAATTTTAATATTCTAACATTGCACCCAGTGTCATTATACATTTTTTCTACTGTATGTTATAACAAATAAATAATATTTATAAGTGCACTTCATAGTTATTGAATTTTGTGAAGGTTTTATATAATAATTTATATAAATGTATAGCATTTTAAATATAGGTACCTAAATATCAAGTTTGTTTTTTTGTTTTCAGATGTCAAGTTTTGATAAAAGCGAAAGGCAGATGAAAAACAGTGATAATAATATTAGTATAAATATAAAGGAACATATTAAAAATGGTCATCATAGGGCAAAGTACACATTTACTGATGACCCAGTAAGTATAAAACTACAATAAATTTTGAATTCCCAAAAATTGTAATAAAATAAAATGTTTGTTTTTTTCTAAATAATTAATTTTGTGTAAAATCTACAAATATGTTAAACTAAAGAAGTTGTTTATGAACAATTGGTAAATAGGATACAAATTCTAAAATTCTAGTTTTATAAATTCAACTTTTATACCTAGTACAAATATTTGCTTTTATAAACAATTCAAACGTTGACATAATATTTAAATAATAATTTTACTTATACCTACTAATATTTTTATAGGTCTTAAAATCAGTAAGTAAAAACTCTTAAATAATAGTACCTGATAGTAACTGTATATATATATAGCTTAACTTTGAGGTATAACAATGTAGCATAAATTCATAAGGGTTTATTACCATTCATTAATAATTGGTACAGTTTTAAAAACCATCTATTTGTAATGGCAATGGGAATTACTACAACAAAATAATTATAATAATTTTTTTTATACATCATATAATACCTAATTTAAATAAATATTTTCATTTAAAATTATGTAAAATGTAATAGTTTATCTATGTAATTTAGGTACTGCCGGGTGATTCTTTTATCATTGAACATTTGTTATTTTAAAAAGTATAAATATTTTTGAAAAAAATACATTTTAGATGTCTAATTGTTAAAATACCTATACATATTCTTATCCTGTACATTTTTGAAGTTTTTTACTTTATTGAATGACAACATACTGTTTTAATTTGTAATATAATATGTTGTCATTCCTTAAACAAATGTTGAGGATAAAAAAAATATATACATTTTTTAAAAACGTTTTTTAAAGACAAAAAAAGAAAAAATTATATTATAATTAGGTTTACTATAATTTGCAACCAACAATAAATTAACAGTATTTAAATTCTTGAAAAAAAAATTTTATTTTACTTTCAGACTGATATAATTGATCTTGATATCGAAAAATATAATGGTATTGATCATATAAAAGCTCTAAATGCATACTTGGAAGAAATGAATTTAGGGAAAGTTGAATTTACCGTTTTTAAATGTAAATCAAAATCAAAAATACCTGCTCATTATGCCAATATTAAGGTAATTTAGTGTAGTTTTCTATTAATATACTTTTGTGTAAAAATATAAATTTATATTATATAATACAATACAGTTTGTTTTTATAGTTTTATATATTTAATACATGTTATGTGTTTCCTTGAGTGGGTAGTCAATATCCATTGTAAGATAATGGTTCCTCACTTGTTGTATATAATGTGAATATAGACCCCCCCTCCAATGGACCAATTCCACCCTGGACAAAAATGTAAAATAGTTAAATATAATTCATTAGTACTTCAATATTTCAATCAGTTGTGATACTTCCCCTACAACTGTTTTCATAGTTTTTAAATTGTTGTATACAATTCCAACGTGTACCTATTTTAAGAAATTTTTGTTTAACATAATATACAAAATTATCCAATATAGTTTTTTCACCATCTCTTTTAGTTCTTATTAATGCCATCACAAAACACAATAACAAACAGTTATACCTACCAGGCACAATATCGCAAACTATAAAGCAGTACCAACAATAGTTAAGATAATTTCATTATTATCAATCTACCTCTTAAATTAGATAAAAAACATCCATAATGCCAATGATAGGTGCCTGTCATATACTTAGGGTAAAACCAAAGTTCCTATTTACCAACCTATTATTATATACACATACCCTAGTCCCTTATAAAAAAAAAATGTATATGTTGGTTCATGGGCTGGGAGATGTTCATATACCATATAAATATATAATTGTATGTGTTTTTATGTTATACTTGTCATGGCTTAAAATTATTATGACATAGGTACTTACATTAAAATCATATGATATATTTTGTATGCATAAATCATTTGGTTCCTAAATAAAGGTAATAACATATCTTAAACCATAGAACTTATTTAAATTTTAAATTATTAAATTCGCTTTTAAAAAATAGTGAAGTATTCAACTATTTATTTTCCTATTTTGTAATTTTTTTACGGCATGTTTTTAACCTGTGGCAGACCTGAACTGAAAGGCGTGGTTTGGTAATCTGTAAGGCAGAATTTTTGTTTAGGAACTAGTTCTGCCTTGCCTAAAAATATATTAATTATATGTACACTTACAAATATTTAATTTAATTATTCAAATGGTATATTACTTGTATTATGTTTAAAAAGTAAACAATAATTTCTGGCTTTTAGCTCGGCAATGTTTCTCTTGCTAGTTCATTCCCTGAAAAATATTCCCTACCTGAAGTGGCTGAACAGGTAGCTGCACGTAATGCATTGGTTGTACTGAAGAAGACTCATAGTTATAAAAATATTCCCGTCACTAAAGATATTTCTATTGTTGCTGAAAGATTGGAAAAGGTCTGATTTTAATTTGTAATATTATTTTTTTATTTGTTTTAATTGTGGTTATTTACAGGAGTTAAAAAAAAATTATGCTGGTCTTTTCTGTGATAAAGTGGAAAGTATTTATAAAGAAGTATATAGTGAGCAATTGCCTTCAAATTGGTTAGTTCTACTCGGTCAGTTAACAACAAATATTATAATTGAAGATCTACCTAATCAGAACAAATCCATTTTATACTATGATGATTCTCATGTATGTACACTAATCAAAATGTAATTTAAAATTCTTAATTGTATACAATATTTATTGACTGTTTTGTTTAAAGGCTGATAAAAAAAAACATACAGATCTTATGGATACTTCTGTGACTGAATCTTATGAGAACTTACCTATTATGCATTTTGTTGACAAAACTGAAAGGAGTGTAACTGTGTCTAGTGTAGACAGTAATAACACATTTTGGGTTCTTTTTGTTCATGACAGTATTAATGTAATTATAATTATATATTATTTTTTAACATAGTATTCTGGTTTAATAGAAATAATTTTTATAGGACGATTATAACACTTTATTTAAATTGATGAATCTGCCAAGTGAATCAAAACATTTTATTCAAATGTATAAAATTGATATTTCTGATGTGTATGCAGTTCAAATACAAGATGAATGGTATAGGTTTCAAGTCATGAAAATTGAAGATGATAGTGTTACTGGCATTTTTATTGATTTGGGCATGGAGTGGAGTGTTACTAAAAGCAATGTTATGTTTTTGCCTCAAAAGTTTCTAAAAGTATCTTCGCAAGTGAGTTCACAAAATAATATTGTTAGTAACCAATTATTCCAAACTAATATTGTATTAATATGTTCTCAGGCTATAAAATGTGCTTTAACATCTCTGTCTTTTGCACCTTATTTTCAAGTTGCTAATACGCTGTTTCATAAAATGTTATTTGGAAAAGAATTTACTTTAGTACCAGATAATATTGAGTGTGATATTCCATTGGTTACATTATATGATGGAAAGTGTAATATGAATGATGTTATTAGAAAAGCCATTACAGAAAAAACCAATTTTAATAAAGTATTACAACATTTTACCTTATATAATATAAATTAATTGTCTAAAACTAGTTAATATGTATTTAAAATAATCATATAAAAAAGGGTTTTTAGTGACTGGTAATAAATGTATAAACTAGGTGTAACATAAATATATAAATCTTGAATTAAAACTCTAATGATACCTGCAACATGTTAAAGTCATAAAAAAAACATGTTTTCAATATTTAGAAGGAAAAAAAGGCACTAATATTTTTGTAGTGGCATTTAAATGGTCAATATTTGAAAATATTGTATGTATACTGATATAAAATAGCTACAGACATAATGGATAAGAAAAGTGCCTGGAAGGGTATAACTTAATCTTTAATGTTATTAGGTTATAGAAATTTTTTTTTTTTATTTTAGCTACCAATATAAAATTATTACAGCTTAACAATTATAACTAAAGACACATTAACAAAGAAAACAATCAGTGATTAAAAAAGTTAACAAACTGAAACCTAAAATAACAAAACAAAAAAAAAATTATAATTTATAGAATTTGTCATGTTCTGTTGTGTGCTTTGTGAAGTACTGTAATATCACTTAATTGGGAAGTTTGTTCAATTTTAAATCTGATTTAATTATTAAATTTAAATCTTTTTAATGGCATGTGTATGTTGTACGGGTTTTCACAATTTTTGCAAATACCACAACAGTAAAAAAAAAAAAATATATATTCATAACACCACGTTTTACTAAAGGCAAAATATTTTAATTATTCATGAATATCATAAATTTTATCAATATGATCACTAAGTATTATAGAAAAATATCATCATTAAGTAATATAAAAATAATATATCTTTAGATATAAGGTAACTAATTTACTACTATGGTTAATATACTGTAAATATGACATTTGTTTGTTTTTTTTTGAATGATGTATTGGCATTTTAATGTGATGCCTATTATAATTTATATTATGACTTCATTCATTTTGTTTTTATTATTATTACTATCAAAAACATGTGTCATATTACAATCTTTTGTAGGGTGTTATTTTTCATACAGTTTTTAGGAGAATGTGTTGATTTCATATTTGAGCATAATATTATATAATATCTATAGAATGATTTATTAAAATGTTATATATTATTATTTAAGAGGCTATAAGTAAGATATTACTTAAGTAACATATTAGTAGATATATAATATTTATTATTTTTTTTATTAACATAGTTGGCTCTTTTAAGATTCAACTTATAATATTTGAATATAATAAGTTAATCACTATAAATATTTATTTAAGATAATATGTATAGTATCATAATGTATGTTCTATGACTTAGTTTAAATTTTATGAGTGCACTACATAGTCATTTGACTTAAAATCATTATTTAAGGATAGAAAAGATTTTTTGTTATTTTCATTACATTTTATAGTTAAAAAAAATTTAATCAGATTTATACAAATACTATTAATTTTTTTTGTAAACGATTTCTTCTAGATTCATGAAAAATGTGAAAGAGCTAGCTTGACTTATGTTGCTGATGGTTATGTATATTTACATCCACCAAATGAGACGTTGACTATATTGGAATCTATATTGGATTCTATTTCAGCAACTCATCCTCTTGACAAACTGTATTCCAAAAACAGCATTTCTCCGCATAAGTTATATCTAGTTAAATGCCCAGATCTTAATTTGTGGAGCAGAGCAATAATTCACGATTTTATATTTACTGATCAAAAAGTAAGTTATTTTTATACACAGTCATATTGATATGTATTTTTATATTTGTCTATTTATAGTTCAAAGTATACTTCATTGACTATGGTAACTATGGTTATATTGATCAAGATAAATTTATCGATTTGCAGTCATTTGATTTATTTTTGTCTTCAATCGGCCCTCAGGTAATAACTTGTCTGATTTAATGTTTCAATCAATTTATATTATTTTATCGCATACCCTCTGTTCAAAAAATATTTTCAAGTATATCTTCTCATTTATTTTTTAAACATTAAGTATCTTTATGATTTTATAGGCTTTAAAAGTGTCGTTTCATTTATTCCCACCGGAGAATCTTATAGATCAATCTCGATCCAGAGCATTGTATGAAATGATCACTGAAAAATCTTTGGATGTATTTGTTGTTTCGACTCATAGTGATGGTATTCAAGTAGTTGAAATATTTGATGCTGATGATAAAAATCCTAATCGATTGTCCTTTAATACCCAATTATATCAAAGGTAAACTAAGTATATTATGTATCATTATGATAAAAAAAACTAGTTCTTGATGACACTATTATTGTATTTAATATTTTATAAGGCTACACATAATGTATGCTAATTATAACAGTTAATGTTTGGCCATACAATTCCATAATTATTATTTCAACATTTTTTTTTTTTATGTACATATCTAATTTATATATATTTGCATGACATTTTACAAATTTGTTTTTTATGCATATTTAGTGTGTAACTATTAACTTCTGTACAAAATAAATTTGTAATTTGTTTCAATTATATGGGCTTTTATTGACTTGCATTATTATTTACAACTGATTATAATAACATTAAATTGTTAGTTATTACTTTTGGAAATTAATAATTGTAATTGATATAGACTTAATATTCTATAATATTTAATTTTTGATAATTACTAGTCTATAGTAGTGATAAAATTAAAATTTATTGTTATATAAAACTAAATCAAGTGATCCACAATGAGAAGATAAAAAAAAGTTTACTTACAAGAATTTTAATGGTATATACATCAAAACTATTATATTTTTCTATATTGAACAAATATATTATTTACCTACTTCTGTAATGACCTACAGCTGTGCAAGGGTTCTTAAATCGTAATGTATAGTTAAATATTATTGTTGAATGGTATAAATAATACTTTAATGTCGACATTGCTAGGTTAGGTTATTTGGATCCCAAGTACAGCAAAATTAAAAGTTGTCAGAAAACGTCAATTGACATTTTTTCAATTAAAATGTGAGAGTATACCAATGTTTAATTAATTTTTTTTTTTCAGTGTTTAGTTGAACTGTTAAAGAAACAGTTTTTGCAGAATTTACATTGAAGACTTACTCATAAATCATAAGTGAAGTATTTATTAATTTGTAAAATAAGTATTTTGATATTTAAAAAAGTTTTCCTAGTTATTTTTATATTAATATGTAACCGTTTTTTTTCCATTTTATATAAATATTTTTAAAGTGTTAAAAAAAATAAAGAAATCAAATTTATGCAGAACAATATTGGTTTTTTATATTTTTTAATATACTATATCATTAAAGATATATTGTTTTTTTTACTAATTTAACCTAATGCAGTAACTGATTGCCTCAAGCGTAAAATTTTAGGGACCAGGAAAATTAAATGTCTACTTAAATTGATTAAAAAAATAAATTGAGTGGTGGTGTGAAGAAACCATGACACAGTTATTGGTTACTCAAAACAGAAATCTAATATTTTCTCTGTCAGTGATAAATATAAAGAATAAAGATTGTAAATGGTCATAATATGGGTCATTCATTATTGGCTATTGCAGCAACTCCCATCCTTATCACTTATCAGAAAATAACCTACAAATAACATTTAAAAGAGGTGGAAAAGTAGTATTTAACATAGATACTGCTCTGCTATTTTTATTTAAATATGTTGTTTGCCTGCTTAATATTATGGTACTTTCAAAACAATGCGTCCCTGGCTATACAGTAGGCGTTATAGTATATTTTTTTTAGATTCTGATTGGAGCAATGTATTAGTTTTAAATTAAAATGTGTTTTTATTGTATGCGAGTACACGATAAATATAAAAAAATACTTCGACTTTTAACTTTGAGGGTCATTTCTGGTAGCAAAATTTGATCTAGTTGGTTCTTTTGAGAAGTCCAAATAAAAGTTCTTAATATTTATAATACATAAACTGTGCATTTTAAGAAAAAAAACAGTTGTTAATCAAATCCATTTTGTATTTTTGATTATTTTATAGTTCTGCAAACTGTAACTACCTAATTTATAGCATTTATAGTTATATTCAATTTTTCACCAAGTATTTATATGTGCGCCCCCGCGCTCAATTGTTACAGCCGGCGGAGTTGAAGTCGTATCAGCGATTTTCAGAAACACAATTTTCTTAATTTTTATTTACTACTCAATACTCAACTTACCCATAGTCTAAATGTACATATAATATGAATTGCCTAAATATTACTGCTTAAAATATGATACTCCTTAACTAGAAAACAAATAACTATAGGTACAATGTTTATATTATAATTTTCTATACTTGATAAATATTATTTGCTTGTTATTACGCTATTTATAGGCGTTAACTTTTTTTTCTTTGCAATAACTAAAAAATACTATACAACAATCTTGAATATTACTAGTGGTGATATAAAATATCATGGCTGACTAAAATAATAAAATATGCTTAGTAATATTGGCTGACGTGTGGTCTCCGCTCAGAATACTTGAGTTTTTTTTGAATATACAATATTCAACAATATGTTTTATCACTTTACAGTATGTTTCAAGTCCGATTAATATTTTTGGAAACACAATAACTAAAATAACTACCTATAATAAAGATATAAAATAAAATGATGCCCATTTATTTTTGGTATTTTTAAATTGCTGCAAGAACAGCAATCAATCTCGTATTTTACTTTCTGTAAAACGTGTTTTCAATAGTTTTGTTGAAATATTAGGATTGTGTATTAGGTATTATAAATTATTTCCTTTTACAAAATATATTAAATATACATGATCAGACATCAGTAAATTATTAGATTAAAGATAAAAGTCTAATGCCGATATATTGTGGGAGGGGGAGGCAGTTAACTCAAGAATTTGCTTCTTGGTGCATAACGGCCATAACAGCTAAATGTGTTACTGTCTACTGAGTTATATAAATGTAGAGTGTGCGTTGTGTATTAAGTTGTAAAAATATAGTGTTGTACCTGTATGTATACCGTATGATTTGCCGAAAAAATAACCCTATAATAAAAATTTATTTATTCGACGTATTGTTCCACTCACGTAGGTTTCGTAAAAATATTGAAATAACTCCTCGGCACCAAGAGGAATAATTAATTTTAAATATTCAACACCTTCTTGTAACCTATTTAGTGGTAAAAAAGCCAAGTCATCTAACATAGGTACCACAGAATTCATTAAAATCATAATCTTCTTGGTATTTATTTTTAATCCTCATTCTGCCAATTTTCTGTGAGTACTCTGGCATAGGTGATAGAAACATCCGTTTATTATTAAATGTTCACCTAATACATTTTTGCTGCATTAATTACTGCCTTTTCGAAGTCTATTTTTATATTTTGTGGATCTGGAAAAAGATTGTTCTTTTCGCAGACTGATAAAATAGCTTTGAATATTATTTCGTAAATAGATTGATTTTTTTTTTCAAGTAAACAGTAAAGAACAGTAAAAAATTCACTATATTTTTCAATTCGTATGATGTAGAGTTCTGATGTAGAGCTCTGAATTGTTTTTATCGTGGGTATATACAATAATTTATCATTGAATCCAAAATTAATATTGTACGTAGGTAATAGCCAATAGGTATGTTATACATTTTGTATTGATTTGAGATTAATTTGCAAAATCTCATATTATGGCCCATGGGGTTATTTTTTCGCGGTACCATACCGTATACGTGTCTATGCGACAAAAGATCGGACCCGAAAAAAATTTAACCACCTGCAAGTAGGTAGTAGAAATTACTAATCTTAAAATAAACGGTTATACGTTTTGTGTGAAGATTGGGGGGGGGGGTAGAGTAAGTGTATAGGTACTATCTGTAATAGAAAAGCTCTTTACAAGGGGATTGGAATAGGGACTCTGGACTAATAGGAACGGTTCGGGGTGGGGGTGGCTATAGATACCTACTGGAGAGAGTATTGATAAAAACCATGCGCAAATGTTTTTTGTTTAAATCTACTAGCTAATCCTTCGTTCTGTTGCAGGCTGCGCCACTGATCAGCCCACGTGGATAGGGCAGGACTTACCCTACTCATTTAAAGGCTAATATCTCGTTTGTTAATTGAATTCACCACTGGTGTCCCACCACACTATCAGTATTTAATTAAACGTGCAATATTTATGTATATATATTATATAAACGTATATACACTATTATGTATTTATATATGTAGCATAAAATGTGCTATCGGCCCATCTCGGGGACGCTGCGGGTTGAGTTTTTATTACGCGGGAAAAAGAAAAGGAAATCCTTCACATAAATGTAGATTAGTTGAAAACAACGGCTGCTGCGTTATCGCCACTAATCTTCGTGTGCAGGCTTTTTCGTCGGTCGCAATTATTTTCCTTCTTCACTTCCACCACATCTATCTCCTATTATATCTGTGTGTGTGTGCTGCAGGGAACAGTACTGCAACAAGAAGGAAGGGCAGTGTACGATTTGATAGCGACCGTGTAAAAACTAATTTCAGACGAAGTGAATTAAAATATTAGCAACTATTAGGAAATATGAAAACATCATACCTTTTTTAATTTAAGTATCTTTTATTATTATATAAAGTAATTTTAAATTAAAATATAGCTGGAGCGCTAGTAAAAATATTGACAATACTAAAAAAAAAAATAATTTATCCATCATTTGTATGTAAAATTTCCCCGTTACAGATCCACCCCCCACCTGTCTGATAATTGATAAGCTTTCAATCGCCAATTTATCAGTTTATAACACATACCTACATAATACATTCAACCTTAGATCATGTACTATCATATATTATGATTTAAGCATACAACATACCCATACCAGCTATAGTCGTATGATATAGCCATATAGGATGTCTAAAATAAAATTGCACACTTGGGTTTTTCATTATAGTAAGATGATTTTTGCCAACACAGAAAACTAAATTTATATGCAATAAAGTATTTTTAAATATCAGCTCCCCTCCTCTTAAAATTATGGCAAATTTTCGCTATGGATGAGCCTACATTACAAGAAAATGAATGACAACTGGCCAAAAGAAAAACCAAAAACTATATATATATATAAGCTAAATACCACTCACTTATTCATCGTTACATCTCAAAAACTATAAAATGTAGGAACTTGAAATTTGGAATAGTGTTTCCACTTTCGGACTTTCCTCTAATGATCTGGATGGTTTATCCAGTTATGGCAATAACAAAGAGGTTTTCCAATATTCGCATTTTAAAGAGGGTGAAATACGAT